TTTTCCTAGATTCATACCATGTACATTCCATGTTCCAATTATCAATGGATGTTTGCAGCTGTTTCTCCTCAATTTGAGTCATGTCACGTTGCAAATGGAGGTCTCGAAAGCTTTACTTTGTCCATGTCAGTAAGGTTGGTTCTACTCTGATGATGCAGCTCTTTCCTAGTTGTATTTTGAAAGCCTTCTGACCTAAGTGGCTCATCCTCCTGCACTGTTTCTGGGCTATTCATAAACTTGCTCAGTAAATGTATCATATAGTGTTTCTCTGCTATTCTTAAGGTTTTCCCTGGCCAATTCTTTGAGAAATGGATAGCCCTTTCCTTCTTCCTAGTCTCTCTCAGTCTGCAAGCTGCGCTGAAAGCTGTGCACCATGTGCAACCGCGCTGGCATTTGAAACACTGGTGGCACAGCCTCAAACCTCACAGCAACACACCACCCCTGTACAACAAACCGACAGAGAAGTTTGTCTCCATTAGCTATTCGAAACCTCTCTAATCCTCCTCTTACCTGGATCCCTGCCTCTTTCCTACTGCTTGAGGGTGGGTCTGGGGCCTCCCCTTACCTGCATCCCTGCCCCACTTGCTCTGTTATGATACTCCTGGCTTTTCTTTCCTCTCCCCCACTTTCCTGCCACTTGAGGGGTGGGGCCTTGGTCCCTCACCTTACTTGCTTCTCTGGTACTGCTGGCTCTGTCATGGTCCCCCTGGTTTTTCTTTCCTTTCCCCTACTTTCCTGCCACTTAGGGGTGGGGCCTGGGTTCTTCCCCTTACCTGGATCCCTGCCACTGCTCCAAGACACAGTTAGGAGATTGATAATACAAGCCACAGAGTGGGAGAAAATATTTACAAAGCATATAGCTCATAAAGGATTTTCATCCAGCATATATACCAAAAACCAAACTTACTGCCATCAGTAAGTGACCCCCTTTGGGTTTCTGAGGGGGTAAATCTTTACAGAAGTAGATTGCCTAGTGTTTCTTCTGTGGAGTGGCTGGTGGGTTTGAACCACCAGCCTTCTGGTTAGCAGTCAAATGCCTTAGGCACTACACCACCAGAGCTCCCAGCATATATATATACATATATATATACATATATATATAAAACCAAAAAACATACTTATTGCCATTGAGTTGATTCCAACTCATAGCAGCTTCCATTGGGTATCCAAGGCCGTAAATCTTTGTGAAAGTAGATTGCCCAGTCTTGCTTCCATGGAGTGGTGGTGGGTTTGAACCACTAACATTTGGTTAGCAGTCAGATGCCTTAGTCACTGTGCTACCAGAGTTCCTTTGACATATACATAAGAGCTCTTAAAAGCCAATAATAAGAAAAGAAAGAACCCGATTTAAAAATAAGACAAAATATTTAGATATTGAATATTAAATAAGAGGTAAAAGTGTCAAATAAGCACATGAAAAGATGTTCGATATTTTTCTTAATTAGGGAAATGCAAATTCAAACTGTAAAGAGTAACTGCTGCACACCTATTAACCTGTCTTAAATTTAAGCATGACCATACCAAGTATTGGTGAAGATATAGAGGAAATGGAGCACTCTTATACTGCTGGTGGAATGGAAAATTGTAGAACCACTTAGGAAACAATTTGGTAGTTTTTTACAAACTTAAGCATATAGTTATCATTTTATCCAACCATTCTACTCCTAGGCATTTACCTAAGAGAAAAGAAAGCATATGTCCATACAAAGACTTGTACACAAATGTTCAGAACAGCTTTATTTGTAACAGTAAAAATCTGGAAACAACCTAAATGTCCACCAACAGAATGAACAAATTGTCATATAGTCATACAATGGAGTACTACTTAGCAATACAAAGAAATAAACTACTGATATACACAGCAACATGCATGAATCTAAAAATAAGTATGCTGAGTGAAAGGAGCCAGACAAAACAAAAGTACATAATACATGATTTAATATATATAAAATTCTAGAAAATGAAACTAATCTATAGTATCAGAAAGGAACATGGTTGCTTGGGGCAGGACAGAGGAGGCACTCAGGAAGGAGTGAAAGAAAGACTATAAATCAGGATGAGGACATCTTTGGGGCTTCTGCTCATTGTCTTGATTATGGCGATGGTTTTACTAGTATATGTGTATAACATTTGCAGTTTATTGTATGTTAGTTATTCTTCAGTAACGTTGCCTGTTTTAATAAATAATGGCATCCTCAAGGATGTTTAGAGTGCACTAATATCTTTAGATTTGGTAGTGTGGATATCTTTAGTGACTTGAGTGAGATCAGTTCTTGATGAGTGTGGATTTTTTCTTCTTTGTTGAAGATAATTACTAAAGGCATATTGTTGTTGTTAGGTGCCATCGAGTTGGCTCTGACTCATTGTGACCTTGTAGACAACAGAATGAAACACTGCCTGGTCCTGTGCCATCTTCACAATCTTTGCTGTGCTTGAACCCATCATCACAGCCACTATGTTAATCCATCTCATTGAGGGTCTTCCCCCTTTTTGCTGACCCTCTACATTACCAAGTGTGATATCCTTCTCCAGGAACTGGTCTAGACACATCTGTTTGGCATTATCTGTTACTATTTATTGTACACTCACATGTTTATATTTTTATTGTAGCATGACTCTTTATATAAAAAATGGAAATTATACTAAAATTAAGTTTTAATAAATGTCCATGTTTTGTTGTTGTTGTTCTATTTTCCCCAGATTTATGTGGCTATTTGGAGGAAGAAGAGGAAAGTACTACCGTTCAAAAATTTATGGACCATCTGCTCCACAAAGATGTGGTGGATTCTGGGATATTGGAAGATCTTGGAATGACAGAAAACCAAGACAAGAAGCAGCAGAAGGATCCTCGTCTTACCATGGAGATGAGACATAAGCAGGTGGGAGGAAAAAACAAAATTAAAATGGAGAGCAGGAAGCAGTCTCTGTGCAACACATTTAATAAGCTTAAATAAAGGCTTAGGCTTTATTATGAAAAAGGGTGCCATCTGTGGTTTGGTTAGAAAGAATAAAAATAAAATACAAGAACTTCAGAAGAAAAATGATGCTCATAGACTGAGGGTAGGAAGCAGTTTAAGGATACCCAAAAAAAAAAGAGGAGGAATAATTGACTTTGACCAATAAAGTGGTGAGCTAAACTTTATTAATTTGGACATGCACTTCCTATTATTATAAATATGTAGATTGGGTTTTACTTTAGTTTTTGAGTTTTGACATTACTATATTAATATCATGAATATTCTGGTGAATATTATAATGATAATTCTTTTCTAGACAACTGAGATTCGCTCATTTTGTGATTATAGTTTGAAAGAGGACAGATCTGAATTAAATCTAGTTCAGATGTTTTGAGTTAGAAAGACATGTGGCAAATTTCTTTTCTCCGAAGGGAAGAGTAGATTATAGGTAAAAAGACTGGTATCTCAATATCTTGTAGAGGAACTTTAGGAATCAATGACTAAGTCTTTGCCATAATGTCCAGAACTGTGACTGAACTGGATTTAGTGTCTATACATGTGTGTGCTGTCTTTTCATAACACTGAATTTCTGTTTGCTAGGTTAGAAAATCAGTGCTTTAAACCACAGAGTGTGCCTAATTCACACACAGGGATGGTGGGAAAGCAGAGGTAGAAGTATGACCCTGTTTTGGAGTTTTGGCAAAAGGAAGGAGAGAGCATTCATAAGAGATAGCCATTGTCTAGAAGTCATATCACAACTACAGAATAAGATAAGAGCAAGCTTAAGTGAAACTGAAAGGAAAGGACCATTCAATTCATAGCTAGTCATGCCTCTAAAGAAATAATATGTTTGAAAAAAATTAATGTGCTTGTTCTGTGGATTTTATGCCTTTGATTTCCAAAATCAAAAAATTACTGATATATTTAAATAATAAAAGGCTTTCATGTTCCTGAAATCAGTATAATATAGCCTCCAAAAAATCCCTATTCTTTCTGAAGTTGTAATTAGTATACAGACAGGGCCTGCACTTTATTTAGTTGTGTATGGGTTATAAGTATTAGCAGGAAGGTTGGGCAATCTACTTCCATAGTTACACTGCCTTGGAAACCCAAGGAGGGGTTGTTATGAGTCAGGTCTGACTCGATGGCACATAACAACAACAAACAACACATTACTAAGTAAGAATCTAGAACTTGGGATTTAACCCATGAGATTCTCAACATTTCCATGATGCAGATCATTCCCAGATTGTTTTGAGAGTCATCTTACCTGACCTCAGCTAGAATTTTGTGTTGGCCCTTATCCAGTAAATAAATGAATTCCCTCCATTCTGTAACTAACAGCATAGTTCTGTGCCAGAGTATTTCAAACTGTGTGTGTCACGAAGTGCAGTGTGGTCTAAGGTTTTGCATTCCCTTTCTACTTGAAAAGGAGCTCTGATGGTGCAGTGGTTAAAACATTTGACTGCTAACCAAAAGGTCAGTGGTTCAAACCCACCAGCCGCTCCATGGAAAAACGATGACATAGTCTACTTCTGTGAAGATTTACAACTTTGGAAAACCTATGGAGTAGTTCTGCTCTGCCCTATGTGGTCTCCATGAGTCAGAATCAACTGGATGGCAGTGGGTTTGATTTTTTTGTTTTCTTGAAAGGCTGCATTTTACCTTTGTGTTCTCTTTCAGGTAAAAGAAAATCGCTTAAGACGTGAGAAAGAATTAGAACGCCAGAGAATCGAAAAGGCCTTGAAAAAATCGGCCTTCTTAGAGGCTCAGTGTCTGGTGCAAGAAGAGAAGAAAAGGAAGGCTCTGGAGGCCAAGAAAGAAGAGGAGGAGATTCAAAGGGAGATGGTAAAGCTGCGGAGAGAGATAATTGAGAGGAGACACACTGTGGAAGAAGCATGGAAAATGTAAGCCAGCCTTAATGAGCCATGTGAGGATTTTCTGTTTAGGCATTTTGAAGTGCTCTTAAGTTTTTAAGATGTACATTGCTATGACAAAACACAAAAGAGCAGTCACCCATTCACTGTTCCACCATCATAACAGATTAACTATTTTCATTTTTCCATGTTTCCTCCTGGTCTTGGTCTCCTTATATACTTAGTTGCAATCATAAAGTACATTTAATTTGATATCCTGCTTATTGTAATTAACACATTGCCTGGAGTCTTGAGGTTCCATCAAGTTCCCATACCATAATTTATGTAATGAACCCCTCCCCGTACTAGTAAGCATTTAAGCTATTCAAATTTTTCACTAATATAATTATTATTGCAGTGAGCATCCTTAAACATAGAGTTTTTTTATTCTTTTGAATTATATTCTTAGGATAAAGTCTTAGGAGTATAATTACTGAGTTAAGTGGTATGAGCTTTTTTATGACTCTTGGAACATTGCCAAAATGCTTGCCAAATGGGTCTTACTTATTAACATGATTGCCAACAATAGACTGATTTACCACACTCTTCACACCATTGGAGAGTATCATCATTTTCAATATTTGTGCAATTTTAATAGATGTAATATTGATTAATTTGCATGTTTTTGGTTCCTTGAACGTTTTTAAGTTGAACATTTTTCCTTTTTCGTGTTTGCCAGTTGTTCTTTGTCCTATTGTGAATTGCTTCACTGACTTACTTTCTAATAAAAACCAAAACTAAACCCATTGCCATCAAGTCAATTCCAACTCAGACTGACCCTATAGGACAGAGTAGAATTGCCCCATAGGGTTTCCAAGGTGGTAATCTTTACAGAAGCAGACTGCCTCATCTTTCTCCCATGGAGAGGCTGCTGGTTTCAAACCACTGACCTTTTGGTTGCATTGAAAAGTCACCATTGCCTTACTGTCCATTAATAAAGAAAAAGCACATTTGAAATATGAGGAAAATCAAAATAGTCCTTACAGGATATAGTATTATTATCCATCCTCTGTGCAGAAAATGAGCTTCATAAATGAAATAACTGATGTATTTATTCTGAGAAATAGCACTGTTGCATGAACTGAAAAGGCTTTAGAACGTGACTGTAGTGCCTGAAAACTCAAACTGAGAGGCTAGAAAGACTTGTTAGATAACCCTGCATCAGCCCATACAGCTTTTTCCCCCTTGTGTTCTTGATTGCTCTTATCCTACCCATTTAAAACAGCTCTGCAGTGAACTGCGCTTCACTCTTTCAAGTGCCTCCTCCAGACGCCAGTCCTTTCAGAAAGCAATCACCAGTGTTTTTTAGTGAGTTCTTACCAAGGTCAAACTTGCTTTTCAGATTGCTCCCAAACCCTGAAAAAACTAGGCTGACCTAAAACAAATTGTGAAAATAAGTAACATTGGATGGTAGCAGGAGCTTTGCTCATAGTGGGCACTCAACAAATGTGTCCTGACCAGTTAACTCCTTTTAAAAATTAAAATCTTGTCCATAGTTAGAATGACACAGATAATTTGCTCTATTTGTGGGTATATTACACTGATTTTAATATTCCAGTAAACAGTTTAGCAATATATATAACAAGAGCCATAAAAAAGGTTCTGCTCTTTGACCTGAGAATTCCAAGTCCTAGAAATATTGTCCTAAGAAAATAATCAGAAATCCAGACAAAGATTATATACAAAGATAATTACCATCACATAACCTGCAATCCAAAAAACTCCAAATATCAGGCATTAATAAATCTTGGAGAAATTAGTAAGTAATTATTAAACAATGAGACAGCAGTGACATGTTATCAGTGTTTTTTCCTAGGTGGAATATGGATGGGTTTTATACTTCTGCAGGTTTTCTCTATGACCATATATATACTCTCATAACAAATACAAATTTTAATGTTATTTTGAAAAATCAGGTCCATGGTATTAGAAATGTATTTCTTTAAATGCCCACTGTTATCTGCTTGTAACCATCTACTATAATATACTATAATATACTTTTGGCATATTTTGAGGAGAAGCAGTAAAAATTTATTGTTGGTAGGGCTTTTTAACGTATTTACAAGCTATCCTTTTTACTTGATTGCATAATATCTAAGTATATATTCCAAGACATTTATTAAGTAAATGTGAAAAATTGTAACTTTACCCTGGAAAAACCCAGCAGATACCATCTCAACTAAGTGATTAAGGTTAGCAGCATCAATAACATTGTGTATCCCCTATATCAATATATATATAAATATGAGAATTAATGAGAGACTATAGCGCATTCAAAAGGAGCTCTAGTGGTAGTTAAAGCATTTGGCTGCTAACGAAAAGGTCAGCAGTCTGAACCTACCAGCCACTCAATAGAAGAAAGATGAGGCAGTCTATTTCCATAAAGATTTACAGCTTTAGAAACCCTACAGGGCAGTTCTTCTCAACTCGATGGCAGTGGGTTTGGTTTTTGGATCTTTTATAGTATAGTCCAGGATCTCTGGTGGCACGGTGGTTAAAGCACTCGACTCAACCAGAAGGTTGGTGATTTGAACCTACCAGCTACTCCACGAGAGTATGATGTGATAGTCTGCTTACATAAAGATCACAGCCTTGGAAATCTCATAGGGCAGTTCTGCTCTGTCCTGTAGGGTTACTATGAGTCAGAATATGCTCAAAGGCAGTAGGTTTGGTTTTTTTGTTTACAGCATATTCTAGCATTCCTCTCTCAATTTGAGTTTCTACAACTGTAAAATAAGGTCAGAGATACAGAGTAACTTGTATGAGGTTCACAGCTAGTTTATGACCAGAACACATGAATCCTAATTCTTAGTCTGGTGCTATCTTTACCACATCATTAATTGTTTTTAAATATACTGCAAAAAGAAAATAGTGCCATCGGATTCTGACCTGTGGCAGCCCCATGAGTCAGAATTGACTGGACAGCAACTGGTTTGGTTTTAATTTTTTAGCTATGAGCTTGCTTGAATTGGTGAGTGAAAGAGGCACAGTCTGGATGAGAAAGAATGGGTAGGTGAGTGAAAAAAAAGAATGGCCAGAAAGATATGTCCATGAGCAACTAAGAGATTCTGATTATAGGTAGTCCCCAGTTGATGATGTTTTTGAGTTGTGACAAATGGAACTTACAGCCATCTGGTCCTCTCTCTCTCTCTTTTTTTTTTTTTTTTTTTGATATCTTATCATTAGTAATATATACTACATACATTGTTGGAGTATGTAATTTGCTGATGTTATCATTCTCAGATGTTTACTTGCAGATGTTCAATGTTATGATTTACTGTTCACAGCACTGCCATATAGCAGGCTATGGCCTGTCTACAATGAATTCAGTGTTGAAAGTTGTAATGGGTAGAAAGTTGAGCAATGTTCAACTCTAATGACATATGACAGTTGAACTGTGCATGCACCTGACAGCCATTACAACTCCAACTTCGTTGTTACAACAATGAAGCCAACTTCATTGTAGACCAAGCCTAATGCTGATCTTGTTCAGCATTTTGTACCATCAGAGGCATCAGTTGTTAATTTCATCACTGGAGTAAATTTTTATGATTTGTATATTTTTTTATGTGTGTATATATTAAAATGGGAGCTCTGGTAGCGTAGTGCCTAAGGCACGTGACTGCTAACCAGAAGGTTGGCAGTCCAAACCCACCAGCCACTCCTTGGAAGGAAGGTTAGGCAATATGCTTCCTTAGAAATACTGCCTCGGAAACCAAAGGAGGTGTCGCTATGAGTCAAACCCAACTCTACGGCAGTGAGAGTAGCTATTAAGGAGATCTGGTGGTGCATGCGAACCAAAAGATCAGCAGTTCAAATCCACAGTTGTTCTATGGGAGAAAGATGAGGCAGTCTGCTTCTGTAAAGATTTGTAGCATTGGAAATCCTATGGGTCAGTTGTACTTTGTGCTGTCAGGTCTCTGTGAGTTGGAATCAACTCAGTGACATTGGATTTTTTTTTTTTCTTCTTTTTTTTTTCTTGGTAATAGCCATTAATTCTCAAATCTTAATCAAATGTCGTTCAGTGTTAAACTCAATAAAAAATACTTACTGAAATATCTGTATGACTTTCTACTTTTAAATAAGAGCCAGATATGTTGTTGTTGTTATGTGCCATCAAGTTGGACCCTACTCATAACGACCCCTCCTTGGGTTTCTGAGGTGGTATCACTACAGAAGTAGATTGCCCAACCTTCCTTCTGAGGAGTGGCTGGTGGGTTTGAACCGCCAGCCTTCTGGTTAGCAGTCAAGTGCCTTAGGCACTATGCTACCAAAGCTCCTAGAGCCAGATATAGAGGAGAAAAAAAAAAAGCTGTCTTTTGATAGAGAATTCAGTGTTCATTCCACTCTACTAGTTTGTAATTACTTATTGTTTAGTCTATTATAGACAGATGTATTTTTAAATTATTGTTAATAGAGAGAAGAAAAAGCAAGAAGAAAATTTTCAAAGGAAACCAGAAAAGGACATATTTGAAAGTGCTCATATTCCTCTGGATGAAGAAAAAATGGCAAAAGAAAGAAAGAGGAAATTGAAAGAGTTATTAATGCAAGTTTCCAAGGAAAATAACCAGGTGGGAATTTTAACATGCCTTTTTTCAGCATTCTGTAATGTAAATGACAAAGAGCTGCATCAGAGATGGGCCATAATAAACCTGAAGCTCACTGAGCCTGATCACAAAACAAAATGGCCAGCTGTTTGTTCTGTGCTACTACTAGCTAACAAACAGGAGAGTCCCCCCAGTCCCTTTTCTGGGTCTGTGCTTTGTCTACTCTGGTGTGATCCTTCGAAATTATGGGATGAATTTGGGATTTCTTCCTAAATTACCCTCTTCAAATAGCATGTGAGGTAACTCCCTGGTAATTTAAAGTCTTAAGATTCTTATGGATTATTCAGAAGGTACAATGGTTATTGCTTTGTGGTAGGTCAAATCCTAAAGCAATGATACACTTATATTTGTGCTTCTCCTTTTAAGGGTCTACGTTTTATTTTTCTCTTCTCTCTCTTTTACTTTCTCATTCTGAGAAATTAACTGACCAGTTTTTTCTTGACAAAGGAGCATCCTCCCTAGGCCACTTAAGCAGAATAAATATTTTTCAATGATGTGGGATTGGGAAAAGAAAAAAAAGTATGAATTTGGAGCTTATGACTTTTCAGATAAAAGGAGTAACTTGGGGAGTATGTAAATTAGAAGGTTGGATGAGAAAAGATAAATATGTATATTTTCATATCTCCTGCAATGCCCACCCCAGGGCCTTAGGCACTGCTGAAGTTCACTGGAAGTTAATGGATGAATACTTGAGTGAATGGATTTAACAAGAGAAAAGAGAATGTCAGAAAGATATTTAGGGAGACTTATTAAATGTGAAGAACAGACTTACAAGGCCCTAGAATGCAATAACAGGAATTTGAACATGAAATGGTTAACTGAGATATGAGGAAGGAAGTAAAGTAGTCAAACTAATAATAATAAAAAGAGGATTGATGGTGGCATGTTGGACTTAGTGTCAGGAAGTCCTAATTGTCCAGATATGAAACAACTAGAGTTTGGGCAGAGTTTTTGCTTTAAATATTGAAAGGGAAGTGTAGTAGGAAGAAATGTTAAGAGTTGGGATTAACATTTTGACAAAGTTTGGCAAGGACTCTTGGATACCGTGTCCTACATGATATAAGGAGTTAGTGTGTCCTCTTGTAAAGACGGTTCAGATTTCTAAGAAAATAGGAAGATAAACTTTTACTGAAGAGACTATAGTGAAAAGGCATAAGGCAAAGGTCCCAATGGTATGTTCTTACATGGCGTAGTACCTAAGGCTCTTGATTGCTAACCAGAAGGCTGGCGGTTCAAACCCACCAGCCACTCCTCAGAAGG